CAGAGTTCAGATCCAGATATATTGTGTGAAGTACAAATCTGCATTTTGGGTAGCTCACTTTGTCAATTTGCAAGCAAATTTAAAGCAGAAATTTAATACCCTTTTCTGTTCAATTTTCACTGGACCACTTGTGCTTTTCTAGTGAAAAGGTTTGTGCAACTATTTTCTGACACTCCTTGAATACCTGTCGCCGTAATATCCTCTGTGAGATTACGTTACGTGAAAAAAAATATATAAATGTTCGTTATATGTTTATTTTGGTTGGTTGAGTGTGAACAAATATTTCAAAATATTTGCAACTTATCTAAGCCTTGCAGCAATTGTTCAGTATGTCCCTGACAGCCAGACAATCAACTGTGACCTCTAAACACCCTTTGCATTAACTCCAGTTGATATCACACAAATATGCATTCCATCTATCCATCAACCTACCCATCCCTCTCCAGCAGACCACCTACTGAGTAAAGGATGCAGTGATGCACACAGGTCATCTCGCTATATGTTCCACCTCACTCTTCAGATAATTTTCAATGGTAAAGATATTGCGTATTGCTGCATGGCTGCAGGGCCACCTCAGGCTAATGTTTGCATATTATACGGATAATGAAAGGTGGGATTGTGTGAACAAGCCTGAGAACCAGAACCAGAGAAAGAAGTAGGGCATATTTCAACATCTCCGAGAGGCTGCAAATGCAAAGATAGAGTGGCACACTGCCCTGATGATTCAGACAGCTTGGCAGCTCTGTGCAGATTCATACAGCAGAACTGGGAGCAGCAGACCCCCCCCGTTCCGAGCTCTCGGTTCACGATAAAGGAGGTGTGACCTCATTCTCAGTAAATTGTTGGAGGGCAAGCAACGGATCGTGTCCTGACGATCCGATAGCCTGGGTGCCAGGAACATACAAACACATAGCAAAAGTATTATTACAAATATCGGGGAACATATATCAGTGGCCTCCCGGAATGTCTACCCTACGTCTACCCAACAATTTTTTCACAAATTACCCTATGCGTGCACAATGAAGACTTTATTCATGTGAATTGACATTGCCTCTGAATCATAGCTGAGTATAAACTTTATTTATAATTTCATTTGGGCTGGGATTTTATTCGTTGTTATTAGTGTTACTGCAGTGTGTCTCACACATGCAACCATTCGCACAAAAGGCATGAGTTGTTCTCAAAGGTGAGACTTGCTTTGGTACAGAGTGGATGAGAGGAGAGAATAAGGACTATTTGCAAAGTAGAGTGGAGACATGTTTAATAAAACTATTAAGGAGGAAGGAGGGTGGGCAGCCATTTAAACAATAGATGAGATTGAGCCTGAGCTTAAACTGAAGTTCAGATAAGCCTGGGGTAGCCTATGCCCCTTACTCTGCCCCTGACACTAAGGTTAATCTTGAATTTTTGCGTACGTTCATTTCATTGTGTTTACGCCACATCTGTTCACAATTTGTCTACCACTCTAGCGGTATAGTATGAAAAACATGACACATATGTAATGCTAGTGTTGTATGTTGGTGGCATTTTCTTCTTCTGTTACGATACTTTGTGCCGGTTCGCTTGGTAGTGAAATCACCGATAGCCTATCACTACTCCAGTATGCAAAGAAAGCTGGTTAGCCTGATGTCATAAAGAAGGAATAGTCCATTATGGCTCGGATTGGGGGGGGACAACTTTGTCTATCCTGAAAAACTGGCGTTAAACATGTAAATAACAGACATGTTGCTATAATTTAAATGATCATATTATCTGATATCCATGAATGTAACTTCTGGTAAATCTGTCTTCACGGGGCCCCTAGTTTTTGGGGACCCTATATGTCAGCCCATCCTTGCCTTATGGTATGTCCCTGTGTGCAGGGAAAAAAGACACACAAGTAAACAAAAAGTGTGTTGGGTCAAAAAAGGGGAACAATTAGTCAAGGAGTCTGCGTCCATTTACTGGGGATGGGAGATACAGATTTAAATACACTAAAGTGCAGGCAGCCCGGACTTTGCACATCTCTTGCTTGCTTTAGTTTTTCAAAATGTGTCACTGAATGACAATTAAAAAAAGCATGATGTCTAGTAGAGCCATTGATTTTAGCCTTGGGATAAAGTCTATAAATATCTGGGACTCTACTGGTGGGATGTGACACCCTTCATTCACAAGAAACTCCATCACTTGGTGTTTTGTTAATGCTGATAGCAAAGACATCCCAAATACCATTCAGAATCAACCATAAGTGTTTAACTCAGTTGAATACTGGTGACCAGGGCTACCATAACATATGGCTTAAATTTTTTATGCTCATAAAACTCTTAATTTACTACCCATGCTTTGTGAGAGGAGTGACAGCCATCCCGAAATGTCTTACATACAGCAGAGTAAAATGCTCTGTCATGGGATGAATGTGATCACGCCATATACCGCTCCCTCTGGGGGGGACAGTCGAACATAACCAGAGCCATTAAGATGCACCCCATACCATGTAAAACCCCCAGAACCAGACAATACCTGCACTTTCATCTGTTTGCTACACACTTTCATCCCAGTTTTTTTTCCCATTGCTTAGTAGGCCATTGCTAAGGGAATTGTTTGATATAGTAAGAAGTTTACAGGCTGTCTTGATCATATCTTCTTGCAAAGTTTGTCTACTTTGCCTCAAACCAATACATGGACATTGTGGACAAAACAACTTGTTTCATCTATGGTTGTTTCAGATTCACGACACAATTCATGCCTTTCTCTGTTTCTCACCCACACTTGGTGCCACGATCACTTTAGCCATGGCTCTTCCTGAAACATCAACACACTGAGCTGTCTTCATCACTGCCGTTCCTCTCAAACACACACCTTCAGTCACCCCTCTCTGAGAGAAATGCTAAGTATGGTACTTGGTCTGCTATGTAGCAGCAAGGAAATTCATTTGTTTTGTTTAACTAATTTACACCATAACTTTCACATAGCTAAGACCATGTTTTATGAGATAAGACCTGCTGTTTTATGAATCATGGCTTCAGGGCTTACATAAAGAGCATGTGTGGTATGCACATAACTTTTGAGGGTTCTCCTACTGTATGTGTTTAAACTTTATTTATCTTCTCTTCCATAATTATGCAGTTTCCTGTACACCACACTCAAGAGCTCTGCATCAATGCAATTTAGCCCGACGTCTAACAAACTAGTTTTGATCAACAGCTCAATCAAGGCTAAGTAATAAATCATTGAGTTTATCCTATCCAGCATGAACGCTGTACTGACTATAAATATGCAGATCTTACAGATACATCTGAAAATGTGTCTACTGAATGCCATATCAAGTGTTTACATTAAGCAGCTATTGGTGAAGCACATCAGCTGAATAAATGAACATGTGTGATTGTGAATAATTTCCATTTGCAAATTCACTACACCCTAGAGCAGTGTTTCTCACCCAAGTCCTCGGGGAACCCGGACAGTCCATGTTTTTGCTTCCTCTCAGTTCCCAGCAAACCTGTTCCAGGTATTGGGTGTTCCTGATTGGCTGGGAGCTGGGAGGGAGCAAAAACGTGGACTGTCTGGGGTTCCCCAAGGACTGGATTGGGAAACACTGCCCTAGAGTCACTGTGCTCTTCCCCATTCACTGGACATCTTGCTAGCTTGGTTAAGATAACTGCTGTACCTACTTGTTCCATTCATGGCTATGGGGGGTCTGGAGCCTATTCCAAAAGCTACAGGGGGAAGGCAGGGAACAACCCAGGATGGGGCACTAACCTATTATAAGGCAGACTCACCATTCACACCTACCGGTCCCAGAGGTGTGAGGCAACAGTGCTATCCACTGTGCTGTGGCACCAGCCCATTGGTTCATTACCATCAACCATTATACACTAATCAACAACCTTGCATGTCCTATACTTACACATGTTCATATGTTGTAAAGTTACATATGTACAACTAATAAAAAAACTTCTTCGCAGGATTTAAAGTAAAACAAAATACGCAATTTGCCTGCCTTTCTCCTCTTTACAATCCTACTGCCTAGGGTTTTCTCTGATATCTCTGCTCTCTGCCAGTATTCCTAATGATTTAGAGAACTCTGCTTAATGTTAACCGATGATATGTTAACCGATGATAGTTATACAACCATAATCGTAAATTCCCCTTAACGTGCATCCTGACTTTTCCATTAGATATCATCGTGACGCGCCACAGCCTTTCCTGCGCTTTCCTTTGCCAGCGTACTTATCTATCATTAGTTTCTTAGATAGCCTATTAGTTTCTTTGGTTTGCAGGTTGGTTTCGGTTAAAGGGGGAAATGCACACATATTATCAAGCATGAATTGAGTTTGTGGTTCAAGATCCTGCTATTTCAAAAAACAGCCGCAGTTTCATTAATTAACCCACATTTCATAAACAAATCAATGAATGACGAAACAAACAACAACAGACGAACAAGAACTCAAAACTTTTCTTTACAAATCACTGGAATGCGTGTAGACTTTCAGTACAAATTTAGTGATCATACCTTCAATATAATTATCACAACCATAGCTGTATATATATAACATAAACTACGCTTCATCTCTTACCTTCAGCAAAACGCCTGTTTTGTTTCGGCGAGGAATATTTTGGTACTGTTCGCATTTGAATATCTACTTTATTCGTCGTAGTAGTTAACTTTCATTTATCGTCCTAAATTGCAATTACAAAATAAATGTTAAACTGGCTTAAAATAACCGCAAATTAAATGCCACATTGGTCCATCTAGAGAACTACGTTCTACAGACATCAGCCAATAAGAATGCAAATCCCTGATATAACTGATGTCCGGTTTAATGTACAGTTCCATACGACTAAACCAGAAAAATGAAATACATTTCACTGTTTCAAAGTTAAACAAACTGGAAAAAAACTGAAAAAAGTTAAACTAAAAAGCAAAATCACCGACAGTTAAGATTAATATTTTTCCTGTAAACTGGATGCAGCAAGATGAATAAATGCATATATGAAAAGTTTAGCACACAGTTACTTACGGGATTGATAAATTCCCCAACTGCCCCCAGATCACGCCTGACGCTCTTGCTTCGCTGCACTTCGCCTTACAGCGGCGCGTCTCTTAAGGGGAGGGAAAATGCACCGTGAAGCCTTTCACTTCAAACGCCACAGGCCATTCAGGGAATTAAGGAGAACAAAGCGGAGGAAGATGTTTCCTGACGCAGTGAATAAATACCCCTTTGGTGAAACACCCAAGCAGAGTCCCGAGGCAGTCTAGGTCCTCAGTGATTCCATTGGGTGTACAGTATATGTTTACTGGTCAGTGGGCAAGCAGAATGAATTGTACTGTACTGTATATGTACAATATTGTGAATGTATGTATGTGACAAATTTGGTCCATTACAGATTTCGGTAAGACTTTATTTGGGTAGTCTGCCTACAGAGGGAGTATTTGTTACATTTCAACAATTTATTAGTTGAGATTCAACAATTAATACTGTATAACATTGTTTGAGTGAGTCAAATTCGATTAAATCATTCTAAAAATATGTAAGTATGTTCATGAATCGTTACATAAACTATATATACTGTGTATCCTGTTAAGCATTTACAGACACAGATATTAACATTATGCATTAAAACAGCTTCACATGCAGTGACCAATGTAATAAATGAGCATAAGCATCAGGACCAGTGGCTTTCCAGTGCTTGTAATCCTCTAGATGCTCCCTGTGACATTGATTTAACACACTATAAAGAGCAGTGAAAGTTGAGACACAGCTGCATTTTTTTTTAAAACCACTTTTGAAGTCCTTCACTTTCATTTGAAATAGTAGAGAACATAATGGTACCATCATAGGAAGGTGGTAAAGACCCGCTGATGGACTGGGACACATCCAGGCTGCCCTATGCTTTTTGGGAAGATGCCCAACCACCCCCAAAATCACCAGACGAACCTGTTCAGGATAAACTGTTGGAAGATTGAAGGGTGGGTGCAAATGGTATGACCCATGGAATGAAAAAGATGCAGATCATCTCAAAAATGATTTCAATGGATTTAAAGATATTTTTAATGAAAAAAATCCCATGACCCCTGTTAATGGAAAAACCTATAGCCTATAGAGTGTCATTACAAACTTGCACTGCAAGGTGTAACTTTTAATTTATACCAGATTAAATACAGTGGAATTTGCAAGGAAATGATGAGGCCATGATCAACGACATGAAGTGTTACGGAACGACAAGAAGTTTCTATTTAGTCATTATCAGGCTAAAGCGTGGAGGTGGTTACTTCTGGAACAGGCTCAATGGCCTTTTTTGTTTATTGAATATAACTGCAGTAAGATGAATTTGGAGATAAACACATCTTGTTGATGATTCTAAGAAATTAATACCCCCCGATTGAATGGGGTGGCACTACACAATGAGGCAAAAATAGTGCACAATGACCACAAGGGAAATTTATATATGACCAATATGGGCTTCAGGATGACCGTGATATTGCACTGAATAGGTAGTTATACAAAAGAGATGGATGGAAACTGTCCCAGGGCTCCAAAATGTCATTATCAAGTGAAATCAAGAGCAGCTTAACTGTGGAAACGGCTTTATATTGTGGGATATTGCTGGAGAAAAAACAGCTGTCGATGACATCAGAGAATTTGTTAAGATTCTTTTTATAATGAAACACTACACACTTGTGGATGAAGCCTAACTTTTTGATGCAATTTAATGCCTTGTCCACACGTACACGGGTATTTTTTAAAACAAACCTTTTTAATCTTGGGCTTTTCTCCACACGTAAACGGCATCTTAGGTCACTGAAAACGGAGCTTTTGCAAAACTCCACCCAGGGTGAAGATTTTAAGAAACTCCGTTTTCAGTGTCGACATGTAGACAGGGAAAACAGAGTTTTTGGCTCAAAACGTCAGATTGTGCATCGTTGTCCACTTTGTTTAACGTCAGAGTGTGCGCTGATGGCTGTATACATTAGGCGAGTTTGAGCAATGGCAGACTTCGCTGAAATAGTGCTTGAGCTAACCTTGCTAACAGGACTTCTTACATGTGTACAGATAAATGTTGAGTCACTCTCGCATTATATTGATCAACACAGGCGTCGGAATGTTCGCCATGGTTTTCAGCTTAACAGGACTGGCAATTAGGCTTCTGATTGGCTAACAGCCAGTACGGTTAGAGTTATAATGCCGACTGTTGGTTTGGCATGCTCTTGCCAGCGCATTTTAGCGGTTTCATGTGGACAGAAATATTATAGAAGACAATGTTCGTGTGGACGAGGATTTTTTTTTAATGGAGGAGGAAAAACACCGTTTTAAAAAATACCCTGGTACGTGTGGACAAGGCATCAATCTTGGCAGAGAACTGCCAAGGTATCTGTAAAGACTAAAAAGGGTGTGGTAATATGTAAGTCGGAATGGTTTTCTCCAACATTCTCCAAAACACATTCCTAGACAAACAATATGTGAATCAATATTGACAAAAAAGATAACAGAGGGTGCACAGGGGTGTGGAATCAGCAGGAATGCAGCTTAAGCTTGTTGTGCTTTGAAATGTATAACAATGACTTTGCCGTGTTTCTAGAAGTATCTTATGGTCCGGACTAGAGATGACACCAATTCCATAACCACTATCGGTATTGGGTCAAAACCAGCAAGAAACGCTGGATTGAATATCAGGGGGTTGGTTGAGTAAGAAACCGGTCAGATTTTCTATCAGAGATAGGTCAAGCCAGAAAAGCTGAGAAAATGTGACATACCGTAAAAGAACAGTGAGGGTCATGTGATGGCTGGTTGTTTAGCGATGCATGTGCGTCGGAGCTGTCATGTGGACTGTGTGGAAAGACAGTAACTGTACTTCATGCTGAAGGAAGAAAAAGGCAAAACTGCAGAGTGTCAGACTGGTGCTGATTTTACTTAAGCCTGAATGCAGTAAAATTCATACAAATTACATGTCTTCAGGCTTGTATTATTTTTAAGAAATTTTTCTGTCCATCTTTGTGAAAGTTGTTACTGAATAAAACAAAGAAGCTGACTTCTGTAAATCCTGTTGGTCGTGGGTTTCCTCCAGTAACGTGGTTTTAGTAACGTGACCATTATATTAGCCTGTTCTTAGCAGACTCAGATAATGCCGCTACACTAAATGCAGATAGTTTGCCAAGTCAATTCAAATATATTGATATAAATATTTAATGCTTCATAGTTGATAAAGCAGGAATATATCGGATTGATACTGGTATTGGCAGATACTCAAAATTTTAATACTAGTATCAGGATCAGGATCAGACCAGAAAAAATGACGTTGTGCCATCTCTAGTCCTGATCTAATTTTGCACCAGGGTCACGCCCATTCATGAACAAACTCCTCAATTTCTATTCAAATCAGGAAATGGAATTGGGGAATTGAATTAGAATTTCAGGACGCTTGATTGAATTCAATGAAATTCTGTGCAGTTCCATGTATTATGGGTTTCTAGCATACTGTATATCTCAGATAAGTATTGATATACATTTGCATTCCTGAATATAATAAAATATTTAAAGTACCTTTTAAGTAGTTCATGTAAATAAAATAAAAACTTTAAGTAAAATAATAATAATGAATGACCAGTATAATTGTAAAACTGACACACTTCAAGAAGTCCATGCCATGATGTAATCTACACCTGTACAGGATTACTTGAACAGAAATATTTTGACACTTAAAAATGCAAGCTACGACATGAAGTGGAGAAAGTGTTCACTGCCTTGCTTGCGTCTGTAATACATTCCGGCTCAAATCTTAAAATAATGAGCAAGTGTTATTGATTGATTGATGTCCTTTTATTGATTAAATTCTTTCATTCATATAATTACACTTATTTTTGCACCAAACCATCATTACCTGTTCAATTCTCACATTGCTAAGATTACATCTGTCAGGCATAAATATCTTGTCAACAACGCCGAAACTGTATACTACGGGTGCTAATGAGGTGGGAATGGCTATAGGTATATGGATGCATGTTTGACCAAGTAAGGGAACTAGTTCAGGCAGTGTTTAAGTACTGCGGAACATCAACTTCTAACTGTGGTATGGTAGGTTCAAGGACCTTGTTACCTCATGGGGTATTAGTAACTGTGTGTTTGTGGACAGAGGCAGGATCTTGTTTGTCATTATTTGCTTGATATTGTCTCTTTCTTTACCCGTATACCACCGGTTCAGTGTGCCAGGCAGCTGAATCCACTCAGTATCTTCAAACATAGCCAGCCCCTTTCTCAATCGAAGACGTCGTTGTCCCGACCATTTTGCCCAGTTTCATGATTGCCACACAGCAAAGATCTCCAGCGCATGGAATGACATCACCCGCAGTCACAAATTCATCAGCTGGGCATCGATCTGTTGCTTCCTCAGGAGACTCCGGTGTCTCACAGAGTTCTCTGATTAGCTTGATGTCATTAGCTGTGAACTGAACAGGAGCTTGAAGTTCTGACATACTGTACTGTAACATATGAGGGTAAATGAAGAAATGAGCTCATCATATTCAGCTGGCTGTTCCGACCAGTCACATTTGTATCCTGTATTTAGATGGCCCCAAAGGATTTCCAGCGCCTTTTCTGTTCTGTGGTAAAATGACGTGAGCCTCTGAACTTTGCCACCACAAAGTTCAGTGAAACCACTTGTTCCAGTGCATCACAAATAGAGCCCCCTGGGCTGTTTGAGTTGTCAGAGGTCCCCATACTATTTGTCAATCTGGGGCAGTGACAGTAAAAGTTGGTGGCGGTGGGCTGAGGGTGTGGATGGTAAAAGATGTTGACTGAGGGGGGGCGAGGGTAAAATTTATTGAACAAGGTTAGAGGCTTATTTTTAAGGGAGACTCAAACATTCAAGCCCAGGTAAGCCTGTGCATTAAAAAAACACCTCCTTGTGGATCACAAGCTGGCCATTGTGAATAAATCTTGGCCTTTTCTCAGGTGGCAAATAATTCAATTCATCACATATACTGACCTACACAAGATCATCCCCCTCACTTCATCATCATTATCATCTGTGCCACTGTCATGAACATCCTCTGCTGGGAAAAGAGTAAATTCTGTCACCACGTTGTTATCACTCATAATGACAGAGACTTTGTTGCCGATGTTGAAGATGGCAATGGTATTCTCATATTTCTGAAAAATGTTTTCTGCTTTGT